GGATAAAGGCCCAAGTTAAAGAAGACTTGCATAAATAATACTGCCTAATATAGTCAACAGTATAATGCACTAGTCATTATAAAGCAGTTGAAGATCCCAGTTTCCAAGGGCCATTTCAAAACGAATTGGCAGTATAATGCTGTAGTAGAAATGGGACATTTTCCATTCAAAGGGAAAAACATATACCATTAAGCATGCACATGGCCTTGGGCAAACTGAAAGTAGTTCTTTGGCTCCTGGGCAATCACATTAGGAACTCTAAACCTGGCTGTACTGTTTCTTGATGAGCAATGGCACCTAAACTCCAGATGAAAATGAAAGAGGGTCTAGTGAGCCAACACTGTGCTTGTCTTTTCCATTTTGGTGAATGCTTATAGAAGACGAGAATCGACAAAACCAAGACAGCTTTGTTCTATGCTATTAGGATGACAAGCAAACCACTACGAGAACTTTCAATTACTTTGCGTGGTAATTTGAAATTAAATATGTAGACTCAAACAGGGTAACAATACTTTTTGATATTGGAAAGCATGCAGGTGGTCAGAGGAAGAATCAGACAAGCACTGTTTGTGTAACCGGGGTAGTCCTGCATTTGTAGTAACTATTTCGATACGCATCAGTTTGTGTGCAAACTGTACGTGATTAAATATTTAAACAATGTGCACAGAGATGAACATGAAGCATACGCTATGCCCTTGAGTGGGTCATGAAAGGGAAAGATCTGAATTTAAAGTGGATATGTTAATGCTGCTTTTTCCATTTGTGTAACCCTTTTCACACCTGGGTTAAAAGGGATGCATTCATTCTTGTGTTTGGTAAAGAGCTATATTGTTCAATCAGGGAGAACAAGCTTTGGATGTGAAAGGATGCAGCTTTACTTTCTGACATAAAAGTACTAGGTAAAGGGGACTGTCGGAAAAAAACACTGAGACTTTGGGCAAAAGTTTTGCTGTATGGCTTCTCAACCAACAAGGGCTCCTGAATAACAGAACCTGTACAACTATGTTCCATGTCTTAGTAATCACTGAACCTGTGATCTAAAAGTATGGTGATAACCATATATAAGAGTTCCCAAAAGGCAGGTAAAAACGTAGACATTTTTTTTAAAAAGTCCAGGATAGTACAAAATAAGTTATGATTCAGAGGCAGTACTTGACTATGAACCTCGCCTCTGCTCTCAAAGTGGCCTTGGGCTACTTCTGCTGTCTTGGACTCAATTCTCTATCTAGAATACTTTCAGAAGCTTGCTGTGTTTATAAAGTTGTTATTGCATGTGATGTTCTTAGGACCCAAAGGTGCCAACTCTAACCACCATATTGGAGGTTCAGTGTTGTAATGTGAACCTTATAATACAGAAGCCCCAGAGACTTCTGATGCAAACTGGATACATTTGAATGTTGCAAAATGATTAACTCAACACCTGGGGAAAATGTTATTCCAAATTCATGGATTACTGCAAGGATTCCAAACCCCACTTGCCAAAATGAGGTAGAGGAAAAATTTCTCCAGCACATGGATTGCATATAGCATACATTGAGGTGAAGTGTCTGTGTGGGTCTTCAAAGAGCCTGATAATTTATGGTGACCTCGTGTATTTCAGAGGGTTTTCTTAGGCAAGGAATACTCAGACCTGGTTTTACCAGGTCCTTCCTCTGAAATACAGTCTACAGTATGTAGTATTAAGTCTAAATCTGTGTATGCCTACTGAGCAGAAGTTACTTCCCATGTGTTCATATATTATGAATCAACTAATACTTAACTGCTACTGGATCCAACTGATAATTCAACAGTTTAATTCGTATGTTCATAATGAAATCGAGCACACTTAGCTTTGGAAGACAAATGTAGGAGCTGTTTTCCTTTGAAAAGTAATTGAAACATTCATCATATTGTGAAAAATCCCCCCTCTCCTAAAAAAGGAGCCATGGAAACGTGTTTGCAAAATCAGATAGCGTTTTGATAATCTAATTCAAAGAAATATTTACTCCAGCAAAACCAACAAAAATGTGCATTGTTTCTAAAAAAACCACATTTCTTATGGAATACATTTTTGGGAAAGTGCCGTTTGTCTGATAATGCATTTGATGAAGCAGTGGGACGGCGCATAAAACAACCTATATTAACACAAGTGGGTTAGTGTTGGTAGAGCTGTGTTAACAGGGGACAATTTTTACCCTTCACATTTGGCCCAGCTCGTCCTTGTTTAATTTCTTTTTGCATTTTATACTTTGTTTTTTATTAGTGTTTATGGAATCACAAAACTCAGTTAATTTTGAAAAGCTGTTAGGCACTAAAAGACTACAAATGAGTCTCCACTAAAGAAATGGCTTATTTATTATCACTGATATCCAGTATCTGATAGGTAACAAACAATAGCCAGTTTTAAAAGGACAATACGAGATAGTCTCTTAGTAGGTAATGGAGTCTTATTGTGAAGTAATTGTCCCAAGGGTGTTTATTACATAGCTTTTCATTTGTCAGGATACTGCTTATTTGCAAACAATGTGTTCCTGCTGCAAGGATGGGAAGCTGCTTGGCATAAATTTTGAAGGCAGACAGGAACTATTTTGGGACAAAGGATATCTTCCATATGGGTTAGTTACAGAAAAGACAAATCCAGCTCATCAGTGAAACAAATGGCAGGTGTAACAGCAGGCATACTGAGATCAATTCTCTTCCTTTCCTCAACAGCTATGCTAAATCACTGGAGCATGTTGTACAGGAACATCCTTCAAAGAAAGGTGAAGTTCTGCCTTTGGCCATATTGACTGCCAGGAGAATAGAGCACTGGGAATTTATGATGAGTCAGGTTGTGGGAACTCTGTGAAACTCTGAATAACTGAATGGGGAGTTTGGAATTAGGGACCTCCTGAACATACACTTCCCAATTAATGATCTTGGATGCTTCACGATTGGTGCCATGGTTCATATGGCCAATACAGATTGAATTATAATGAACTGTCAACACCAAAACAGCTTCTTCTAAGTACGTGCTTGTCAACTTGTGTGTCCCCAGGTGTTTTGGCCTACGACTCCCAGAAATCCCAGCAAGTTTATCAGCTGTTAGGATTTCTGGGAGTTGAATGCCAAAACATCTGGTGACCCACAGGTTGAGAACCACTGATCTAAGTCATGGGTAGAAATCATGTGGTCCTCAAGATGCAGATTGACTTCATCTCTCAATATTCCTCCTAATAGCTAAATAGACCCGGGTTACTGTTTCTGTCTGTCTTAAACACATCTGGAGGACTGAATGATTCCTACAGCTGCTGTTACTTTCCTTCTGCATCCTATCATAAAGCACTGCCACACAAGGAAACAGGAGAGATTTGGTATCATTTGCTACTGCTACCAGACCCAGTATAATATCCTCCACTCATCCCTCCTACCACATCAGCACTTTTAACCCTGTACCCCTATTTCGGCCGCCCCAGTTTTAATAGTGTTTTGTTGTATTGTCACTGTTATTGTTTTCCTGCTTAACTGTTTTAATTTGCTTGGGTATTGTATTGTTGTATTGTGTTTTTTGAGGCTTCGGCCTGTGTAAGCCGCATCAAATCCCTCGGGAGATGCTAGCGGGGTACAAATAAAGTTATAATATAATAATAATAATCTGCACCTCCCTACCATCTGGCTGAGGTTTCCCACTTATATAGAAAGCTGGAAGAATTTTAAAAAATGGTCAGAAGAAAGAAAAAGTGTTGGGGGAAAGAAAGACACAAAATACATCTGAATTTCCCAAGGAGTCCCCAAAACCTCAGAGCAACTTGCTTTGTTGCTGGAACAAGGGCTATCTGAAAAACACACATATGTGATAAGCCACATATGGTCTGCTACGCATTGCCAGCTGACATGGGATCCAAATTAAATTTTATGATTCTTCAGAGAAGAGCCTTTCAAATTAGTGGCACATACGTTGAACGTACATTCAACTGATTTGAATAGGCAGATATTACCATGAAAAGGCTGGGAGCACCAAATGTTCTTGGACTGTAATTCCCAACCACTTTAGCCAACAATGAGGAATGTTGGGAGTTGCAGTCCAAAAACTGGAAAGTATACAATAGTTAGTTGAAGCAGTCATTCTCACCGTAAACGTTTGCTGACAGGGCTGTTTTCAACATGACCCTTGATTCTCTATGTATAATCCTGATCTCCGAGCCCCTAGTGGCACAATGGGTTAAACCCTTGTGCAGGCAGGACTGCTGACCGAAAGGTTAGCGGTTCAAATCCAGGGAGTGGGGTGAGCTCCTGTCTGTCAGCTCCAGCTTCTCATGCGGGGACATGAGAGAAGCCTCCCACAGGATGGTAAAACTTCTGGGCATCCCTTGGGCAACGTCCTTGCAGATCGCCAATTCTCTCACACCAGAAGCGACTTACAGTTTCTCAAGTCACTCTTGAAACAAAACAAAAAATATTGATCTCAAAAAAATCTAATAACACAAGCTGAGTATTCTTATGTGGAATTCCAAAATCTGACATACTCTTAAAAACTAAAACAGAACACAAGTATGGCTAAGAGAATAGCACATTTGCTTTCTAATAGGTTACTGTATATAATTTTCTTTCATGAACAAAATTATTTAAATTCTTGTGCATAAATTTACCTTGAAGCTATGCACATACAATGTATATGAAATATATATGAATTTCACATTTAGGTTTGGGTCCCACTTGCAAAACATCTCATGGTATCTATTCAAGTACTCCAAAATCCAGAATAATCCAAAATATGGAATATTTTGAGTTTCAAGCATTTTGGATTAGGGATAATTAAACCTATAGAAGTGTTGTAGTAGTCATTATTTAAGAGGGATCAGATGCATAGTAGAAATCTAAGACCACATTTTTTTTACATATGACTTTGACCAATCTCAGATGTGTTCCTTTTACAGAATACAGTTTGACAATAATAATAATAAAATAAAATAAAAATAATCAACAAGCAATTCTCAACCCTTCCTATGCTAATTCAATATCTGAGGTAACAACACCATGGATTACGGTGCTTGTGACTTTCTTTTTATTCATTCCACATAGAAAAGCATGCAGTATTAATGTAAAACAGTACAGTATTCATGTAAAACACTCAGTGCACATTCGGTAAACAAGCCATTAGCATACCAACTCATTTTTATGAACTACATGGGCACAAATCACACAGCCCTGTACAAATGGAGCTTTTTGTCTTTTTGGGAAAAACCAAAAGCAGTGTTTAATTAAAAAGAAGAGACAAACACACACGCACAACCACAAAACAACAACTGGGTTCTCCGTCTTAAGGAAATTATTTCTTTTCCAGCTGAAAACTTGCCAAAGAAAGAAAGAAACTAACAGTTCGACACTGAAAGCTCAGATGTAACAAGAGAGAGGGAAAGAAACAGAGAGAGAGAGAACGAGAGAGAGAGAGAATCATACAGGCATTTTTTAAATTCTGAAAGCCATACTGTGCTCAATAGAAAGTGCCATCACATTTTTGCAAAGGTAAAGAAGCTGTTCTGTAGTCTTCACCCCAATAAAGACTAATTTCCATAAAAAACCAGTTTTGAAGATGTGTCACGCTCATTAACTGGATCTTTAAGAGCTCTTCGCAGGACAAAAGACTTCATATAACCCAATCTAAAACAAAAGCAAACTTAAAGTATCTAAAAGTGACAACAGCTATGAAGCAATGGATGCTGTGAAGAGTGCACCCTCAGCAAAATAGCTTGGGACTCTAAAAAGAGAATATTGTCAAACTCCATCACTCAGTACTGAAGAAGTGGACAGACTGAGATCAAAGGAGGAGAGGGGAAGGACCCCCTGTGGGGTGGAGGGCCGAGGGTGGGGGTCAGGGGGTGTGTGACTGGAGATTTCATATTGGCACTAAATATATTTTCACTTAGAAAAAAAAGGAAAGTCAACAAGAGAATCAGTTCTTGGTGGTTTTTGATGGGCTGGCGCTAGACAAGCTACCGTGGATTTTCCTTTTGGCTGAGGTGTGCATGTTTTTTGTTTTTTTGTCTGGTACAAAGGAAGATGACCAAGGAGACTGGACTTGGCTTTGGAGGTTTTGAAGCTCAGGTGCCACTTTAAATAGCGGAGAGCCAAGTTTGTGATCTTCGAAGGATCCTCCTCGAGAGTTGTTAAAGAGAAAGCTTGGAGAAAGCTCTCTTTGAAATAAGAAACTCTGAGGTTTTATTTCATTCTCTTCAGAAGTCCGACTTGCAAAGAGTGGAAAAGGCTCAGTTATGTCTAGGGCTGTGGGAGAAAGGATTGAAAAATTAGCCGATTTCCACTCGTTCCCTTCTTCTGAATGATCTGCTGGCAGAGAACATTTGAGGGAATTTGGCTCCTTCCTTTCTTTCATATTCTTCTCTTTTTCACTTAAGAGATCAGGACATGGGGTCGACTTGCAACCATTATCCAGGTCAGAAGAAGGCTTGGAGGGATAATAGGGGCTCTTGCTATTGTCTGATTCTGACATCATGGAATCCAGTTCAGAGATTTTGTCAAGATATGCTGCGTCCATAGAGGCCTCGCTAGATGTTCTGGTGCGGTTCATTTCTGCAGAACGGACAGAATGGAGTTTCTTCGGCCCACTGGGAGTGCGTATTTTCTCACTAGATTTTGACGAAGACTCTCCAGAGTCACTTGAGACCACATTTGGCTCTGAGCCTTCAAAGTCCAAGTTCTCATCATAGCGGGACTGACACCTGTTCCAAAACACCTGCTTGTCGGCAGCAAAACAGGTTGCCTTGTTATCGCTGCTCTCAGAACTGCTTGCGCTGTGCTCTGGGGAGTCTTTGTTACAGTCGTCGGACACCTCATCAAAATCCTCAAATTCCAATTTCCTGAGAAAGTTTGAGGGCTCACTCTGACTCTCCTCTTTCACTGTAGGGCTGTCCTTGTTGCTGGGAGTGTTCAACTGGAGGCAACTGAGTGATAATGGTGTGCACGGATCTGGAAGTTCATAAAGTTCTTCTTTATATGGTACACAGTCCTCAATTTTATCCCATGTTTGCTCTGAACAGGTGTCCATATCCGAGCCTGCAATATCCAAGAGACCCTCCCGTGATCCTGCAAAAACATTCCTTTCTGCAGAGCCCTGGGTGACAGATTCATCCGAACAGCCCTGGCTGGTGGAATTTAAGCAGACATCATTGTTGGTGCTTAACAGTCCACTACCCGTTGATGGCTCAAGATCATCAGGGGCATGGCTAGCACACAAGCAGTTTTGTTCTGCGTGCTGCTCCTCTGGGTTTTCCAGCAGCACAGTCTCACTGGGTACACCTTTGTTCTCCTTCTCCTCCATGGGAACAGGAACATCACTTTCAGACTGTGCATTTTTCCTTTGGTCACGTTCCCTTTTGAGATGAGAAATCTGGGACTCCAGGTCTTCTATATAGGAATCACTTCTTTCCAGGGCTTTCTTAAGCCGGTTCGTTTCACGCTCACACTGTTCTAGCTTGGACTGAAGTGCTGCTACAGTAAACCTCCCAAACCTGCAAGAAGCCAAAACACAAAATTTGAATGCTAGTAAAAGTAAAAACAAACCAAATAGTAGCACTAGGTGGGAATCACGCAATGCTCCAGATTTTGTGGGACTCAATTCCCAGCATTCTACTTCATTGGCTATGTTAATGCTGGAAAATTATTTATTTACAGTATTTATATACTACTTTTCTCACCCCCTGCGGGGACTCAAACTGGTTTACACAGAAATAGTGGTAAAATTCAATGCCTTACAAATGTACACAAATCACAATCAACACCATGTAACAAAATATAAAATCAATGGAACAATTCATCATAAGATATGATAAAAAGACTTTTAAAACATGAAATATAAGAATTAAAACACCTAAGAAAACATTAAAATCACATGATCCAGGTACGTAGACCAGGCCATTCCAAATGTCGATTGCACATATTCCATATTTGTTTCTTGTACGGCATTGCTTCACTAGTCAAAAGTTTGGTTCCATAACTATGTCTTTGTTCTCTTTCTAAAGGCCAAGAGGGAGGATGCTGATCTAATCTCACTGAGGAGAGAGTTCCAGAGCCAAGGAGCCACCACTTTGAAGGCTTCGTCTCTCGTCCCCACCAACCGCAATTGCGAAGTAGGTGGAAACGAGAGCATGACCTCCCCAGAAGATCTTAATCTCCTTGATGGTTCATAGAGGGAGAAATGTTCAGATGGTTAAGTTGGGCCGGAACCATTCAGGGCTTTATAAGCTAAAGCCAGCACTTTGATTTGTGCTTGGTAGCAGACTAGTGGAGCTGTCTTAACAGGGGACAATTTTTACCCTTCGCATTTGGCCCAGCTCATCCTTGTTTAATTTCTTTTTGCATTTTATACTTTGTTTTTTATTATGTCATTGTCATTATTTCATTGCATTACTATATTATTAAGCATTTTTATTTGATGTTATTGTCTGTTTTGTACATATTTTATTTTGCTTTATTGTAATTATTTGGGCTTGGCCTCATGTTAGCTGCCCTCAGTCCCTTTTGAGAGATGGTGGTGGGGTATAAATACAGTTTATTTATTTATTAATATATTACTATTGTGTGCTCCATGTATGCCACTCCAGTGAGAAACCTGGCTGCTGCCAGTTGGACCATTTGAAGCTTCCAAACAGTCTTCAAAGGTAACCCCATGTAGAGTGCACTGAAGTATTCTATTCTCAATGTAACAAGAGTGTGGCCAAGTCAGACTTCCCAGGTTACAGATGCAACTGGCGCACAAGCAGTCCAACTCCCACCTGTCATCTGGAGGACTACACACACACACACACACACACACACACACACATCTATGCTGGAATATACCCTCATCTATGCTGTAATCTAACGTATCTTCTTTGTTATGTTGCACTGAATTGGGCCTTCAAAGTAATGTGTACTTTAACGGTGGGTTATTCATGGCAAATCATCTACACCGGTATTATGCCAAAACAAGAACCGATCATGTCTGCACTTTTTCAAATTAACCAACACCTTGTGTTATAACACTGCCAAAAGCCTTACCATTGTGCTCTCATTAGCATAAAAATCCCACTTTTATTATAAAAGGGGAACAGCCCTCTCCACTTCCCAAAAAGATGGAAAATTAAACCATTAGCAGAGCTAAGGCAATAACAAGCAGAAGATTACCCTTCCAGGGGCTGGACCTATCAGTTCGACTCAAATATGCATGAAGAATTATCCCCTAAAACAATGGCAGAGATTTATGATAACATTTGAACAGCAGTCCACATCTTGAAATATTTACATTCAATCATTTTCTTACAGCACAGCAGCATTTTACAATATACATTTCATCCACAATGTCACCTTGTCAAATATAAAAATGCTAGTATGAAATTCAGTAATTGTCACCATCCTTTAGAGAGGATTTTTTTTAAAGAAGACTCATTTGGAGCCTTGTGATTATATTCCTCTCTGATGTATAGCTTTTGCTAAGCCTCCATGGGGATAGAACTGATATGTGTATATACACACACACACACACACATATTGAGCTTAGAAGTGTTGTGAGTAGGGTTTACATTGATTCTCAGATTACTTTGTTTTACATATTTACTTATTTATAGTATTGTTGTTGTTGTTGTTCATTCGTTCAGTCGTCTCCGACTCTTCGTGACCTCATGGACCAGCCTACGCCAGAGCTCCCTGTCGGCCGTTACCACCCCCAGCTCCCTCAAGGTCAGTCCAGTCACTTCAAGGATGCCATCCATCCATCTTGCCCTTGGTCGGCCCCTCTTCCTTTTGCCTTCCCCTTTCCCCAGCATAATTGTCTTCTCTAGGCTTTCCTGTCTCCTCATGATGTGGCCAAAGTACTTCAACTTTGTCTCTAGTATCTTTCCCTCCAGTGAGCAGTCGGGCTTTATTTCCTGGAGGATGGACTGGCTGGATCTTCTCGCAGTCCAAGGCACTCTTTCCTCCAACACCACAGTTCAAAAGCATCTCTCTTCCTTCGCTCAGCCTTCCCTAAGGTCCAGCTCTCACATCCGTAGGTTACTACAGGGAATACCATGGCTTTGACTAGGCGGATCTTTGTTGCCAGTCTGATGTCTCTACTCTTCACTATTTTATCGAGACTGGACATTGCTCTCCTCCCCAGAAGTAAGCGTCTTCTGATTTCCTGGCTACAGTCTGCATCTGCAGTAATCTTTGCACCTAGAAATACAAAGTCTGTCACGGCCTCCACGGTTTCTCCCTCTATTTTCCAGTTGTCAATCATTCTTGTTGCCATAATCTTGTTTTTTTTATGTTTAGCTGCAACCCAGCTTTTGCACTTTCTTTTTTCACCTTGATTAGAAGGCTCCTCAGCTCCTCCTCGCTTTCGGCCATCAGAGTGGTGTCATCTGCATATCTGAGGTTGTTAATGTTTCTTCCAGCAATTTTCACCCCAGCCTTGCATTCATCAAGCCCCGCACATCGCATGATGTGTTCTGCATACAAGTTAAAAAGGTTGGGTGAGAGTATGCAGCCTTGCCGTACGCCTTTCCCAATCTTGAACCAGTCTGTTGTTCCGTGGTCAGTTCTGACTGTTGCTACTTGGTCCTTGTACAGATTCCTCAGGAGAGAGACAAGGTGGCTTGGTATGCCCATCCCACCAAGAACTTGCCACAATTTATTATGATCCACACATTCAAAGGCTTTAGAATAGTCAATGAAGCAGAAGTAGATGTTTTTCTGAAACTCCCTGCCTTTCTCCATTATCCAGCGGATATTGGCAATTTGGTCTCTCGTTCCTCTGCCTTTTCTAAACCCAGCTTGAACATCTGGCAACTCTCGCTCCATGTATTGCTGGAGTCTTCCTTGCAGGATCTTGAGCATTACCTTACTGGCATGAGAAATAAGGGCCACTGTACGGAAGTTGGAGCAGTCTTTCGCATTTCCCTTTTTTGGTATGGGGATGTAAGTTGATTTTTTCCAGTCTGATGGCCATTCTTGTGTTTTCCATATTTGCTGGCAAATGGCATGCATCACCTTGACAGCATCATCTTTTAAGATTTTAAACAGTTCAGCTGGGATCCCGTCGTCTCCTGCTGCCTTGTTGTTAGCAATGCTTCTTAAGGCCCATTCAACTTCACTCCTCAGGATGTCTGGTTCTAATTCATTCACCACACCGTCATAACTATCCTCAATATTATTATCCTTCCTATACAGATCTTCTGTATAGTCTCGCCACCTTCTCTTGATCTCTTCAGCTTCTGTTAGGTCCCTGCCATCTTTGTTTCTTATCATACCAATTTTTGCCTGAAATTTCCCTCCAATGTTTCTAATTTTCTGGAAGAGGTCTCTTGTCCTTCCTATTCTGTTGTCTTCCTCCACTTCCATGCATTGCTTATTTAAAAATAGTTCCTTATCTCTTCTGGCTAACCTCTGGAATTGCGCATTTAACTGGGCATATCTCCCCTTATCACTGTTTCCTTTTGCTTTCCTCCTTTCTTGGGCTACTTCCAGTGTCTCAGCAGACAACCCTTTTGCCTTCTTGGTTTTCTTTTTCTTTGGACGTACTTTGTTGCCGCCTCCTGAACAATGTCGCGGACTTCTGTCCATAGTTCTTCTGGGACTCTGTTTACTAAATCTAGTCCTTCAAATCTGTTCTTCACTTCCACTGTATATTCGCTAGGAATGTTAGTGAGATCATATCTAACTGGTCTGTGTATTTTCCCTGATCTCTTTAGTTTTATTCTAAATTGGGCAATAAGAAGTTCGTGATCTGAGCGACAGTCAGCCCCAGGTCTTGTTTTCACCGACTGGATGGATGTCCGCCACCTTTGGCTGCAAAGGATGTAGTCAATCTGATTTCGGTGTTGACCATCTGGTGAGGTCCATGTATAAAGCCGTCTTTTAGGTTGTTGGAAGAGAGTATTCGTTATACACAGCGAGTTTTCCTGGCAAAATTCTATCAGCCTGCGTCCCGCTTCGTTTTGTTCTCCCAGACCATGCTTGCCTGTGATCCCAGTTGTCATTTGACTTCTCACCTTGGCATTCCAGTCTCCTGTAATGAAAATAATGTCTCTTTTTGGTGTATTATCCAGTAGGTCCTGCAGATCCTCATAGAACTGATCTACTTCTGCTTCTTCAGCAGCTGTGGTTGGGGCGTATATTTGGATCACTGTAATGTTGAAAGGCTTTCCTTGCACTCGAATTGAGATCATTCTGTCATTTTTTGGGTTGTATCCAAGCACCGCTTTAGCGAATTTCTTATTAATTATGAAGGCTACTCCATTTCTTCGATGTTCCTCTTGTCCGCAGTAGTAGATCTGGTGGTCATCTGATGTGAAGTGGCCCATTCCAGTCCACTTCAGTTCGCTGACCCCCAGAATGTCTATCTTTAGTCTTGACATCTCGCCAATAACAACATCCAATTTGCCCTGGCTCATAGATCTTACATTCCAGGTTCCTATGGTGTGTTGATCTTTAGAGCATCGGATTCGTCATTCACCTCCAGTACCATCGGCCGCTAGCCTTCCTTTCGGCTTTG